TAATGTTTGATAGGAAATGTTTGGAGTCGTTGGTTTCACCATCAAGCAAACTAAGCAGCAGGTCTGGTGGATGAGGGAAGCCGGTCAAGAAAACTTTGTTATTAGAGCAGCACATGCCGTTTGTTTCATTAGGCCATTTTTTGCCTGACAATGCCCCCAAACTTCCACCATCCGACCAATGCGACCATTTGCATCTTCGGCATAGGGAAGATTTGGGCTGCAATTCAGAGCGGCATTGTGCCATGGTTGAGTAGTTGCAGAAGCTACCGACGGGATAAAGTTACCAGACCGCATGTGAGTTGGGTGCAGGCTGGAGTTTTCAGCTTCGTTTTGGCGTTGGTTCGCTGTTTGTGTTGCTCTCATAGCCAGACGGGCACTTCTACGGGCAGGTAGTTCGGTTTGTCGATTTTGGGAATGTCTTGTCCTGTCTTGCTGTCTTCTTAGGAGGGTTTGGGCGGGGCTTTCTTGAGAGCGTCGAAATCGCTGACGCATGGCGTGGGACTCCAGCCGTAGCCTTCTCTCTTCTGTTGCTTCTTACGAACGCCTATTAGCTTTGGCGAATTTCCGCCTTCTTCTTTGACACTCTCTCTGTTCGTTTGCCTTTACCTGACTCCTGGCGGCTGCTGTATTTTGTCTCCTTTCCAGTAAGGTAGAACATGCAAACGAATTGGCGCATTGAGTAACAGGATAAAATATTTGCAACGTTACCTCCAGCCGTAGGCCCATCGGGAGCAGGAGTGCCTGCGTTGATAGCATTTCTGTCATCGTTACTGTCGTGCATAGTGGAAATGTGTGCGGTTCAGATATGAAAAGGAGTTTAAGCGGCGGGCCGTTTCACCGAAACTTACGGCTGGCCGAAGGGTATTTTAATTGGGCTAACCATTCTGTGCAACAAATGCCTATGGCGGGATGGACGGGCGCATTACTGTCCAATTGGGTGTCTTCGAGGCGGGGAGCGTTTTCAGCCCAAGGCTGCGTACGCGCTGGGGGGGGGTTTGCGAATTTAGGTCAAGAGCTTTACGGTCAGCGCGTTTACGGCAGCGGCCGGGAGCGGTTTCAGCCCCAA